AACAGAAAGAGCCAGTGAGTAAGAGGAGAAGACTTGACTAAGCTTGAGTCTGTTTTTGAAACTAAAATTGTCAACCGACTCTGACTTGTTGCTTGCACACGCAAACACTCATCTTCGAAGCTGTAACAAGACCCAGGACTACTAGATCATATTATGAGATGTATTCATCCTATTTCATCTAAGGTGATGAAGGAATGGTAGTAGAATTTTCCCACAATGATATGAGTTGAACTGAAGTTGCCATTCAATTTCACAGAGCCTTCAATTCAATGGAAACGTCAGTTCAACTCATATGATTGTGGGAAAATTCTAATACCAGTCCTTCATCACCTTACACGAAATAGGGTGAATACATGTCTCGAAATTCTACTTTAATACGAAAATACTAGATCATACACTAGTTATTTTGCACACACAAAAGTTGTGACTAAATCCGCTTCCATACCTGCATCACTTTGATCAACTTACATGCATGTAGGACAAGCATATGTCAGCCAACCAAATCATGAATGCCTCATTAAGAGCGCAAAGTGACGTGGATCTCAGCTCGTCACCTTTCTCGGTTTAGTGCTTTTGTGTGATTTTTCCGTGAATAATGGTTTCTAGCTCTGACCATGTCCATGACATGACAGAAGAGAGCTGGCCACAGAGTCATTGGGGTCGTAGGACGGTGAGGCCAGGTCTTCTTCGCACGATTCAACCCTCCTGTCATCAATCCAAGCGCTTGGTTGTCTGGTGAGGCCAATCTACGAATCCCTTCGACCCATCTTCTCAAACGAAATGAAAGGTGAATACACCTCGAAAGCCTGCTTCAAAATGAAAAATAAATTAAATCATAGACGCATTCTCTGCAGGTTTGACCTCTTTTTCACAATTTGGTCACAGCGACAGGGAGACCTTGTGAAACGTACCCAATCCTGAGTCCTGTCAGTATTTGTCCCTTCGAGCATTGAAACATTGACTTGGTACATTCCAAGACGTTTGGCTGACATCTTGAATGAAATGAATCATCGGCAGAAAATAGTAAAAACTCATCAAATAAACAAGTGAAGGCAATCTCCTTGACCGACTTTCTGTCCAACAGTTTTGGCACCACTCTCAGCCTCTATTTTTTGTGCTGCAACTCTTTCTCTCAACTCCACTTCATATCGAAACTTGATCACATTGGCAGGAAGACCTAGAAGAATACACCTTGACAGAAGTCCATAGTATGCATGATAATTTATACAATTGCAGCATGGACTTGATTCATTGTCAGACGCTTCGCCGGCACCGTCGTCAGCATCGTCAGTCAGCCTTGTCATCCTCAGCGCCACACTGCAACTCCCCAAAGAGACAAGTCTGGTGCCGAGAATGGCAAGGCTCACTGACGATGCCGGCGGAACGAATGGGAACGTACAAGTCCACGGTCCAACTGGAGATTCTCATGCAAACTATGGACTCAGACAAGGTGGGCTCGTCTAGGTCTTGCTGCCAATATGACCAAGTTGCAAAAACAAGGCCAATGAACTTGTAAGAAAGAGGAAATAAAATAGTAAAAACTATATCTGACTGCTGAGGAGAATTGTGGAGAGAATGCAAATGAAATTAAATGAGAAGATATGCTCGGTTCAACCAGAAGACGACGTACTTTCAAACGAAACATATTCACTCGAGACTGTTTAAGAGTATGCGAATAAAAGT